TAGCAACATAAATATGGCTTCGAAAAATTATTTTTCGTGGTAATTTTGTTAATTTATCGAACATGTCTTTTTAGAAAAAAATGATTTTTTTCGTTACAGTGTTTTATTAAGTGTGCCGGTGCAACGGGGGTGTAAGAGCAACCAATTCGTGCTTCGAGCCGCGGTTAGTGCTTCGAGCAAACGGGCCCAGGGCCCGTTTGCTCGAAGCGCTAACCGCGGCTAAAGTTAGCCGCAGTACCTAGAAGAGGGATTTTGAAATCACGTGACTGGCTCGGTAGGGATGCGGGGAAACATGGCGGTGCCCCAGTGAGTGAGTGCCGCTCGCTTTGGAACTAATATGTCGTTGTGGTTGCAATATCGGGCGCGTTAGTCAGCAACGAATGGTGCAGGAGGCTTTCGCTTTGCCTTACCTCACTTAAACCGCAAAGCATGGGCAATGACATCGCCGCATTTTTTAGATAGTGTTTCGATTCTGGGCACTCCTAAGCCTAAATGAACGCGATAATTGTCGGCATAGCAACGTCTTTGGAAAGCGGATTGTTGATAGCACACAAAAGCAGACGGCGTCCCAACAGACCCTTTTTGTAAATTATCCAGGCACCGAGGTGCATGCTACGACTGTGGTTGCACGCGTCGCACGTGCTGGCGTCTGCAGTAGTAACCGTTCTAAGGCAAAAAGTATAAAACAAATTTTGCCTTGCACGCTCGTTCGTCAAAGCCTTTTTATGATTATTTACTTGGAATCTTTTGTAAGAGGAAGGCCAGCGCGCGTGAACCGTAGAATTACACTTCCAGCGTTCTCCTCGCGATGCTTGGATAATTTCGAAAAAAAGTCTGTCGGGACGCTGTCTGCTTTTGTGTGCTATCAACAATCCGCTTTCCAAAGACGTTGCCATGCCGACAATTGTTGCGTTCATTTAGGGTTAGGAATGCCCAGAATCGAAACACTATCTAAAAAATGCGGCGATGTCATTGCCTATGCTTTGCGGTTTAAGTGAGGTAAGACAAAGCGAAAGCCTCCTGCATTATTCGTTGCTGACTAACGCGCCCAATATTGCAGCTACATAATAATAATTGGGGTTGTGGGGATATTTAGACAGCGTGTAGTTGGTCAGCCATTAAAGTTGCGACGAGTCACACGCTGTAGATGAGAAATTTAGCCAGTGCGGTACAGCCGCTAGCCTGGGGTCTTTAACGTGCACCACGCAGTAGTGATACACGACCGCACGCCGGTACGATGCTCATCCAGATCGAAACGGGCAGGGGTGGGGCTCGAACCCAGGATCCCTGGGTTCTGCAGCGCGAGCTTTGCAGCTACAACGACATATTAGTTCCAAAGCGAGCGGCGCTCACTCATTGGGGCACCGCCATGTTTCCCCGCATCCCTACCGAGCGAGTCAAGTGATCTCAAAATCCCTCTCCTAGGTACTGCGGCTAAGTTTAGCCGCGGTTAGGGCTCATTCACACTGGAAGCGGATCCGCGTTCGCAAAGCGGTTGCGAACGCGGTTGTATAAGGATTCAGTACAATTGCACGCGCACACGATGACATCAAATGCGCGTGCAATTGCACTGGATCTTTATACAACCGCTTTCGCAACCGCTTCGCGAACGCGGATCCGCTTCCAGTGTGAATGGGGGGTAAGTGCTTCGAGCAAACGGAGAGACAAAGCACAGAACAAGGACGAAGAAGAAAACACGCGACACAAACAGGCGCTAGTGCCTGCCTGTGTCGCGTGGGCTTTTGTTCTTCGTCCTTGTTGCTTTGAGCTTTTAACATTTTAAATCATCAGGAACCGACTATCTCAAACCAAAGTTTTAACTGAAAAATTTAGACTCGATTTTCTCATCACGCGGAAAATTGCGTGTAATTTTCTTTAAAAAAAAAAAAGAAGAAAGAAAAAGAAAAAAAGAAGGGGGAGCAGCAAACATAACTTCAGCTTATTTATCGTTTCTCTTTGTTTGGGTTAAAGTCAGTGAGTCCCGGGAAACTAGCGCCATTGTCTCCATCGCCTTCTAGCCGGACACATACAGATACTAACATACAGACGACCAAAACACCGCAAAGCGATTGGCTGATCGGTCACGTTGCCGTGGCGATGGCATCCTTTGTACTTTCGAATCTTTGTAGCTTCGAAAGGGTCGTTCTAAACCAGTAGCGCCAAGATCGCGACTGAGCGTCCTGGTACTGAAAGAGTTCTTCGCCAATATAAGCTCCAACGTCGCTGTGTGCAACTAACTTATCAATCGCGCTTATCTCCACGGATTTCTTACAATTATATTGTTCTCCTCATATATTACAAGACAGGAAAATTATTTTTTTAGTGACACCGACACCGACGTCTCATGCGGTGGCGGTTGCCAAGATGTGCGCTTGTTTCGTCGGTAAATGGATAGTAACACCTCGGTTGACATGGCTTTACGAAGTAACCTGTCCCCGGAAATTTGAATCGGCTCACCAAGAATGTAGAGGTCAGTGAGAAACTGCTGATTCCATAAACCAAGACAGCGACCACCTCAGCGCTATTTCTCAAATATTGAGTGATTTTAGTTCGCGTGCACACTACGCAACAATGTTACCGTGAACACGACATCAGCGCTTTTTGTTTTCAAATCTCTCTTCGAAAGAGTGCTGACAACTTTATTAAACGTGTTTTTTTTTTTTCAGGTTAGTGTTTTAGATTAACATTTTACACAACACCAGCAGTTTCGATGTGAGCGATTTATTTCAAGCAGATAAAAAGCGAAAACCCGACGATCACTTGTCTGTGCTAACAGTGTCGCGTATATCCGGATGGGAGGCTGAAGGGCGGAAACAGCGATAATGCCTCTGCGCCCTTATAAATTTCTTGGCGCGGGTTAGCCGCAGATTCACTGATCACACACACAAAAAAAATAATGAACGAATTGAATTAAATTTAGAATAAAGATTTGAGAATTTGCGACAAAAAATAAAATTGTTTCTGTTTGTTCTATAGCTTAAGGCGGTCGACCTATATAAAACTGAGCCTCCCAGTTACGGCTTGCATTACGACCAGAGTGTTCCCAAAACATACGAGGATGTAGCCGCAAAAATATTCACTGGGTTGCGCAACCAATGACACGGACGTTGTTAAAAATAAAACGCATCAGATTTCGCTCTCTCTCGTACGCCTTGTACACCAGCAACAACGCCCCGTGTTCTTTCTCCCCCCGTTGATAACGACTTAAGTAACGGCGCATTCTCTTTCGGAGCGATGACTCCGGCGTCAAATTACTATCATCACCCGAGCATGCGTTTTCTTCTTCTGCAGGCGCGCAAGTTGGCGCCTCGGCCCCGTTGATGAGGCGTTAAGCGCAATCAACGCGTAACAGTTAGACTCCGTTTTCACCTTATACGATGGACCGCAAGGGACGCCACGAGCTATCAATGCCAATCCAACGCCACGTGAGTGTCACATGATCTTCCGGGGTGCAGCAGTGACCTGCGGAGCGTGCAGTCACGCGGAACTTTGGCAGCTCTTGATAGGCTAGGGCAACTCGCAGCGTCTGCTGCGGTCTACCATAAGGCGGAACGGAGCATAGCCCGAAGAGTACGACGACAGCGGTCCCTGGAGAACCGCCAGGGCGACCCCCGCTGCACGACTGCCATAAATCTCGACGCAGTTATGGATGATCGGCCTTCCTATATAAACCGCGCTGGCGTTGATTTCGCCCGCGGTTCCTTCTAACCGACTCGCGCACGCTCCAACACTCCGAACGCGACCCACATACTTTTCCTTCTTTTTTATTCTAATGACTGTTTATTCTCTTTCACGTCGCATCGTGGATTCAACCCCGCTAGTATGTGTGTTCAAGACCTTGCTCCCGATCCACTGCGCTTCTTTATAGAGCGGCGTTATATCGCGTGACTGCTAGTTTTTCCGGACGTCAGGAGGCAATGGCGTGCGGGAAGAAAGCTGCCATTAAAGGCTGCAGCCCTGACGTCTTAATGCTGGAATCGGGCAGTGCGCTTCGTAAGCGGCACAGTATATGCATGCCGCCGTGTCGAGTTGTTTGCTCTTTCGCAGCGTGTCATAACCTGCGGCGGAGTGGTACCGAGCTCAGTGATTAGAACGCGCGAGGCCGACAGATCGGACGTGCGGAGGAAAACGGAGAGATACCGGATTACAGCGAGTTACCAGCTTACGAAGAAAGCGGCGGTTTTGTCCAGTCAAATGAATCAAGAAGATTTCATTCGACCCAGAGGTTGAAAAGGTTAGTATATTAGCGAAGTCTTTCTTTATTGTGTCCAGTTTGCGTTTGGCTCGCACCTGGCAGTATAGTTAGTTTTCTTTCTTAATTCCTAACGTTGGTTTTAGTGTTTTAAGCACGTGCAACTTATATGTGAAATAAAATTGACTTCTCCCCGAAATGGAGCTCAACTCGCGCCCTCTATACTTTGTTTCACCTTAAGTTCAGGCGCAACCGACGCTACGAGCTGATGGAACGAATCAGACAGCGACAAAAGCGCACCATTATGGTGTTCGTTATAGTTCTGCATGTGTTCTATCATCGCTGAACCAATCATAAACAGAAGAGGTCTAGTGACTTTTGCGCTTTCGGTGCTGCCTCATTTGTCCCACTACCTCGCGCACACGTCTGAATTTAAGCTGAAAGGAAACATAAATGACTGGTAGCAACAGACAAAAAAAAAAAAAAAATCCCCTAATCTGCGAGGCGGAGGAAGAAGGAAACAAGAAAACAGGGTCCGCAGGACATCGGCTCCTGCTTTAATTCCAACTTATTCAGTGCTAAATAATCAATATTGTTCTAAAACTGGTACCCATGTGCGGGCGAAGGTGTGGGTTATCGGCGGACACCCAAATTTTCCTAAGTGGTGCGAGACATTTCCAAGGTACGTGGACTTTGTTCTCGGGGCGGCGGGAATCCCCGCTAAGCCTAACATAGGCCGAGCACAAGTACGGCCGTTGGCGGCGACCCGCCGGCCGCTAGGCCTAACCCGTCGGTGATCATGTTCGAAATGATGTACGAGACAACGACGGCCACGTCAACAGGAGAGGCTGTAGCTTCATCGCTACGAGTCGGCAACGTCGACGGGCGCACGTTCATCGGGGTTCCCGGGGAGCGTATCGAACCGGAAGAGGTCGAGGGATGGAAGGTCTCTGGCAAGCGAATCAAGGAGATCACGAACGGCACAGAAGGCCGTGAGTTCGCTGCAACCAACCGGTCGTCCAGGCCCAGAACTAGGGCCAAATACGCCAAGAAAGTCGCATCGGCAATCACGAAAGGGGCACGGATGCCAGTAAGCATGCCGAAGGAGGATATCAAGATAGTGGTCAGGCCATGTGGCGGCCTCAATATAGCAAAGATGGGAGGCCCGGCTGCCATGGCGGCGGTCACAAGGGCGGCGAAGGTCACAAGGGAGGAGGCTGGCGAGGATACCGTCGGCATGAATACGCAGCAGAACATTATAGTGATTAGCACCCCAGACGAGCGGCGAGCTACGAGATACGCTAAAATGACGTCCATTAGCGAGGGAGGCAAGACGTATGATGTCAGCGCCTATAGAACGGCACCTGACGGAACAGTCAAGGGAGTCATTCGAGGCATAAACATAGAAGAGACGGCGGAGGATATCACGGAAAACATAGTGAATACGAACAACCCCACGGCAGTGGAGGCGCATAGAATCGGAGAGACGACCGCGGTCGTAGTACTCTTCGCGGGGCAGAAGGTACCGCATTACATCAAGTACGGCATAGTTTTGATCAAGTGTGGATTATATCGCAAGCATTTCGATGTTTGCAAGACGTGCGGTAAACTGGGACATAGACGAGACGTGTGCCCGAATCCCGGAAACAAGTCCTGCTTCGGCTGCGGCATGGCGAACCCGGAGGAAGGGCACGAGCTGAAATGTCAACCGCAATGCAAGCTATGCGGGGGCCCACATCCAACAGGGGAGAGGGGCTGTAAAAACAAATACAAGATGCCATACATAGTTAAGCGACGCCAATGGGAGCGCAAAACGGAGGCCGCGGAGCAGCAAGTGGTAGCCGCAGACTTTCCATCGTTTAGGTCGCGCTCCATCGAGAATCCGCGCAGCGTATCAAGACGACGAGCCGACAGTCGGAGAAGGGAAGTCAGTAAGGAAGGCAGAAGCAACAGTCACCGCCGCGACGTAGCGCGGCCGAGGGAGGGAACTTCCTGGGCAGACACTGTCAAGACAACTAGGTCCGAGAGCAAGCAACCCAGTGTGAATAGTTATTACGAGAAAAAGAGGCAGGAGGACCTGGCAGCGATGAAATCCCTCAAGGACAAAAACGACAAGCTCAAGCGCAGAATCTCGGAGCAGGATGATATAATCAAGGAAATCAATGCGAAGCTGGCAATCTTGATTGGGGAGCGACAGCAACAGGCACCACAACCAGTACCAGAAAAGACGACGGAGACCATAGTCGAGGACGAATCAGAGACCGAAGTGGACACCAGAGCCGATAGGCCAACGGAACCAGTCCCCAAGAGGAGGGCCATAGAAAGCATCAGGGATCGAAAGATCATGGATAAGCTCAAGAGACACGATGAAAGATTGGACAGAATGGAGGAAATCTGCAAGGACACTAGCGAGCGCCTCACATCGCTCGAGAAGAACATGCAGAGTATGTTGGCGCAACTACAGGTACAGTTACAAGCACAAATACAAGCGCAGATACAGAGCATGGAAGTCGGCATCATTACCAAACTCCAACAATCATGGACGGGACAGGGCGTGCAGCAACAACCACTCCGCCAGTAAAAGGCCTCCTAGTCTGGCACTGGAACTGTAACGGTTTCGCACACAAGAAAGCGGTACTACAACAGCACTTGCAGAGAGTAGATAGGAAACCAGATGTGATCATGGTACAGGAATCTAATGCCACGGAGACACCCAAGCTCGCGGGATACCGATCGCACAACAGGCCTCCGCATACCTGCGAAACGCCCAAGGGGAAGGGTAGGGGAGTCTGTATCTTCGTACGAAGGGGTATCACATTCGTAGAGCACGAAATACTAGAAAAGAGCGCCGTAGAACACTGCACGGCTTAGGTTATCACGGGAAGGAAGAGAAAAGAGAGTACCTTCTTAGTTAATGTGTACAGCAAGCCAGCTCACACGCAACAGAAATTCGAAGCACTGTTTCATAAAGCATGTAGGGTAGCGGGAGGAAACATGCTGATGGTATGCGGCGACTTTAACGCTGCGAACCAAGTGTGGGGGTACCGCAAGACAACGGCCAAGGGAAGAGACTTATTGCAGGACGCGCTGGACGCAGGGTTGAGTCTCGTCACAGATCCCGAACAACCCACTCGAACGGGAACATCGGTTTCCCGGGACATCACCCCGGACCTCACCTTCGTCAAAGAAACGGGGAGGAAGAGAGAGGTCACTTGGAACAACACGGGCTATGACCTAGGAAGTGATCACTACATACTAGAAGTCCTCATCCCGCTGGAGGGGAAAGGTGGTAACACCGAGAGGAGAAAGCACCGCGTCACGGATTGGGACGCCTTCAGGACGGCACTCACTAGCTGGCAATCAGAAATCACGGATATCGATCAATGGACGGATAACGTTAATAGGACGATGGAGGGAGCCCCGAAGGAGATAGAAACGGACGAGAGTATAGACAGAGTGGACAGCAGATTAGCTCACCTACTGGAAGCTAAGCAGTCAATCCAAGCAAGATGGAAGGGTCAGCGCACAAACTGAAAACTACGGAAGAAGATCGCGGAACTCAATCAGTGTATAGAAGGCCATTGCAGGTTACTCTGCGAGCAGCAGTGGACCGAGGTATGCAACGAGGCGGACGGTCAAATGAACAAGAGCAGGACCTGGAGCATGCTCAGGCATCTCCTCGACGAGACCAAGACTAAGGGGTATCAGCACGACAACCTTGCGAGGATCCTACACAAGGCCATTAGCAAGGAAGGGGAAGTCGAGATCAAGAGGCGTCTGAACGAGAAGTATCTACCGTCCACTCCTACAACGGAACACCTGGAGTACCAGGGTACCGACAACGCGACCTTGGACAAGGACATTGCAACGTGGGAAGTCAGAGCAGCCATGCAAAAACTCAACAGCAGATTGGCAGCCGGTCCTGACCGAGTTACTAACAAGGCGATCAAGAACCTCAGCGAGGCGGCTATCGAGAATATCACGAAGTACTACAACAAGTGTTGGCGAGAAGGGAAACTACCAAAGCAGTGGAAGACGGCCAAAACGATCCTCATCCCCAAGCCGGGCAAGCAACCCAGTGTAGAGAACCTCAGGCCGATCTCACTTACGTCGTGCGTCGGCAAACTTCTCGAGCACGTACTGCTGGACAGATGGCAACGATATCTGGAGGAGTCGGGCCTCTACCCGGACTCCATCATCGGGCTCCGGAATAAGCTGGGGACACAAGACGCAATGATTCTCCTAAAGAATAAAATCATAGACAGCATCGGTGACAACAGGGCCATCCTGGGGCTGGACCTACAGAGCGCCTTCGATAAGGTGAGCCACTCTGCCATCCTTGCCCAGGTCTCAAAACTTAACATGGGTAGGCGATCCTACGATTATATCAGGGACTTTCTAACTGGACGAACCACTAGAATCTGTGCGGGGGACTTACAACTAGACGAAAAGATTTAGACAGCGTCGGAACTCCACAGGGGTCGGTGATCTCCCCACTGCTCTTCAATCTTGTCATGATAGGGGTGGCTAACCGATTACAGGAAGTCAGGGACGTCAGACACACCATTTATGCTGACGATATCACATTATGGGTCAAAGGAGGCAGCGATGGTCACATAGAAAACCAATTGCAGGAAGCGGTCGAGGCCATAGAGGAACACCTAGAAGGGTCCGGGCTCGTTTGCTCCCCGACAAAATCAGAACTGCTAGTGTTACCACCTAAAAGGGCAGGCAGGAGAAGAAAGGACGCGCCGATCACGGTGGAGAGACCTAAGATCACGGTCAAGACGGCGGGCGGGCGGATAATCCCGGAGGTAGACAAGACCAGGGTGCTGGGTTTGCTACTCGAGCGGAACAGAGTAAATGGAGAAACAATCACTAAGCTCAACACCAAGGTCATGTCTGCTACGAAGCTCTTACGGAGGATATCCAATAGGAAAGATGGAATGAAGGAAGAAAGTTTAATCACGTTAGTGCAATCCTTTGCGATCAGCCACATTGCGTACGTGGCTGCCTTCCACAAATGGACTACAGGGGAACGAAACAAAATAGACGCCCTCATCCGCAAGGTATACAAGATTGCACTGGGACTCCCAGGCAGACTTGGACGTAGTTCAACTACTCTACTCAAACTACTGTGGTTTAACTACTTTTTCGAGTAACTTGGTAACTTTCAATTACAACTTGATTTGGGTAATTAGTAGTTTAATTTAACTACTTTTTTCAGCTAACTTCTACTCAAATTGCTAACTACTTTCGAAATTATATAGTGCTAATTTTGCCCATCACGAAAGTTTGAGCGCAGAAATGAATAAGACGCCGGCAGATGAAGTGGCATTCCCTAACAACGGGCCCCCTTGTTCGGGAAGGCGTCCTTGGGTCAAGGTGGCGACGAGCAGCCAAAACATAACACCGGCACGCAAGAATGCAGAAAGAGATGCTTAACAAGCCTTGGTCGGGTATTGACCTAATCCGGTAATGCACGCAGGCGCCGCGTTTCCAGCTGCAACCGTGAAAGAGTTCTGAATCAAGCGGTAGGTTCCACGGGAGGCGCCACTGGAATGACCTCGCAGCTGGGCGCCTGTTCCCATGGTCGCCTTGTCGTCAGCGCATACGCCTTTGTAAAGCCGGACTCCCCCGCGCACAAACCCTGGCACGGATAATCCGTTCATGGGAGCACGTTCCCGCTTCCAGTTTGCTTGTTCAAGTAATCCTTCGTGTCCTTCCGACCATCCATGCCTGGGAGACCTCCTCTTTGTAAAAAACGATTTACTTGTCAGGCGTGTCAGGCGCGTCAGAATATTGTAGTCGCCGGCGAGGATTGCGTGTCACCCTTGGGAGATCCGTTTGTTGGACCCGGCGTCAGCGGCGAAGTATACTTCGGTTCATCTTCTGTTAAACCAAAACATTTCTTTTTTCTGTAGCGTAGCACTAGCACTACAACGGGACGCGCAGTCGTCCGGATGATCTCATCGTCGTTGCGCAAGAGTTGAACCCTTGGCGGTCTGGCGCACTCGCTCAGCGTACTCTCAGAACGACGTCGGAATAAAGAGTGGCCAGTCACAACAATCTCAACTTGACGAAGAAAAAAGAAAAAAGGAGGAAAGTTTGTTATAAAAGACCCTCTACCCGAGGCAAACCTCACATATTTCGTCAGTGACACCTAAGATGCCGACACTTGCTTACCCGACCCTGCACAGCCTGTTTCTCAAATTCAACGCTGCCGTTCTATTCAGTGCCACGGTGGAACCTCTATTTACCTCGGCTGGGGACGTCTTTAAAAGGAAAAGGGCAAAACTTTCCAGAACTTTGAAAGTCAATTGCTTCTGCGAGCGAATAAACTATTTTGGCGAAAACGCAAGTTATAAATAGACTGCATTTATTTTAGGCTCGCAGGGTTTTTCATTGATCAAAACTGCTGTTCATCTTGCTACCACAAAAATATAAAAAAAGTAACTTCGAAAGTAACTTCAAAGTAACTCGCTACTTTTTAGAGTAGTTAGTAGTTTACTCAATTACTATTACAAATGCGTAATTTCTACTCTACTCCAATTACTTCTAGCATCGATACTCAGTAACTTAACTTAACTACCTTTTTTGAGTAATTTGTACATGTCTGCTCCCAGGCAACGTGAGCACACAGAAACTCATGGAGCTGGGGGTAAACAACACACTGGAGGAGATTGCAGAAGCTCAACGGTCGGCGCACCTGGAGCGCCTCTCCGGCACGAAGACGGGGAGGAAGATCCTACAGGACCTTGGCATAAATCCTAATGGCAGCGGCTCGGCGGCTTCCGAACCCGTTCCGAGCAGCTTAATGACCGGAATCAGAGTATGTCCAATACCGCGGAACATGAACCCCACGCACAACGCGGAAAGAAGAACAGCGAGGGCGGGTGCTCTCGTGGAAAGGCACGCGGAAGACGAGGGAGCCGTCTACGTAGATGCGGCTGAATACCAAAACGGCGTCGAGGCGTACACAGCAGTAGTGGTGAGCGCCTCGACGGGAGCAATCAAAACGGCGGCCAGCACCCGCACCAGGGACACGCATCAAGCAGAGGAGGTGGCCATTGCCTTGGCCATCGCCGACCCCGGCTGCAAGACGGTGCTAAGTGACTCAAGGACGGCGGTGTTCAGGTACGCTAAGGGCAGAGTATGCAGTGCGGCAGCCCGCATTTTGCGGGCAGCCGAAGAAGCAGGGCGACAAGGGGCGGTGGTGATCAAGTGGTTCCCGGCCCACATGGGCAGTGATGTGTCGGGGCGGGGCAACACCAACCACAACGAGACGGCCAACGCCGTGGCGCGAGGACTCACCAACCGCGCGTTGGCAAACGTGGCCCCCTCGGAGGGCGGTGCGTGGTTAGTTCCAAGGACCGGATGACTACGTACAACGAGATTGCGAAGTGGTATAGGTTAAGTAGAAGAACTATGCCTCCCCCTCACTCTGGACTCAAGCGGGGGGAGGCTGTGATCTTTAGGCAACTACAAACAAGGTCCTTACTAACACCAGTGTTAGCTAAGTACATATACCCGGGACTTTACGCGGACGATACGTGTAGACTGTGCATGAAGGCTAGGGCC